CTTCTCAGCACCCACAAGGCTTTTCGACCCTACCAACATGACTGCATTCAAAGATGGCATCACTCAAACCCTCTCATGCTTCAAGTCAGTCTCCAGCAGCTCCACAGCCTCGACCACAAGTCCGAGCGATGTGAAACGCGGTCTGAAGCGCAAACGGAGAAATGTCGATACGTCCAGCTCAACTTCGACATTCAACCCGAAATACCTCACGAATCGCGACCTCTTCGACCTTGAAATCCACGACATCGCTTTCCGGCGGCACATTCTAGTCCAAGCACTTATCATGATTGACTTCCTTCTCAGTCTCTCTTCCACCTCCAAAGCTAAATTCGAAGGCTTGACCAACAAATCCGTCCTGTATCCTTACACCCTGTCAGAAGATGACGCGAAGTGGGCACAGTCCACACGGTCGCAGATTGCGACCTATTTACAACAGGGCGGCAACGGCAACGAAGGAAAGTTCTACTACAGAATGGTCGATACTGTGCTGTCCAGAGACAAGAACTGGGTAAGGTGGAAAGCGGAAAATTGTCCGCCAATTACACGCGAAGGTGTCTCGCCAGAAATGTATCTCCAAGCGAGGGATACGCTGACGAAACAGATCGAATCCGCTCGCGCACCGTTAGTCAACCCACCTGGCGCGAATGATCTCGCGTTTCTCTCAAAAGTCGAACCGCTTGAGGCACTCAAGAACCCGTCCAAGCGATATAAGGTCCCTACGCCAGAGGAATACTACCGTGGGATCGAAACAGATGAGCTTGATATGGACTTTGCCACCACCGAAGAGGAGAAACGAGACATTGAAGAGCGCAAGGCCGGGAAAGTATGGCGGGCGCTAAGAGGTAGTAAGAACCGGTTTGTCATGTGTGAGAAGGTGCAATATGGCGGAGACTGTAAGCCGTTGATTGAGGAGGTCAAGACGGAAGAACACGAGGAACATGGAGAAAAAGGTGCAGAAGGCGAAGGCGAGGATGAAGTGAAAGACAAGCTTCAAGGCCTTGAGAATGGCATTAGAGCGGAGATCAAGGTCGAAGGAGGGGGAGAAGTTGAAGGCCATGCGCAAGTCGTGGCACCGGAGAAAATTGAGGCCTCGCCGCCGCCGCCGCCGCCGCCTACCGAAGTGGACGAGCCGCGAGAGCAGCCGGGAAAAGACCTCGACATCGTCACCAGGGTGGAAGACGCGGAAATGACCGACATCCCTCCCGCTTCTATGCCTGCAGACACGGTCGATGTGAAGAATGCAGATGTGACGGAGGCGACTGTTGACGGAGATCGGGATCCTGGCGAGACGGATTAAGTGATCTCTACTGTATGATAACCAGCTCCAACATCACGGAATATAGAATGCCTAGCCTCACGAATTGGCAATCAGCGTAATATCCTTAAAACGTAACGGAAACGGTATTGAGTACAGACTGATTTCCACCGGAGCCGTGTACCGCCGTGTTAATGCATGTTCGAAGGCTGGCAAATATAGATGGTCCAGGTAGACGACACAATAGGCACTGCTGAGCCGAGACGCCCGGTCGAAGCAACCGCACTGATCGACACCAGAAGCATACCGACCGACACGGATGTTATGCCACTCAAACCGCAGTGGAAAACGTTGATTGCCGTTCCACTGCAAGCTCAGTAAAATCAATACTACTCGAATAAGTGCTTCATATCCCTCCATCACCTACATGATCAGCAAATCTTCCCGTGCCAGTCGAGAGACTCGCCTTCTTTCATTTCTCTCCTGGGTTCACCACGTCCAGTTCTCTCCACTCTCGGACTCACATTGTCGGCTGGACATGCTTGCAAAGTTGATCATGTTGCCGAGTCCAGTATAGGGTGTCGTGGTCGGGCGTAGGCAGTCGTATCACTTACCCTTGGGATAGCAGAGTGATCAAACTCGGCGGGGAGTTGACTGTGGGACGGAAAAGTCGCTGATGCGTTAGAAGAAGCCGAGTTCGCGTAGAAGGACATGATCGATGCATACTCGAGATGGGGACGTGAAGGTGGTGGTGTAGCAAAGCTTCGATGATGAAAAGAGGTATGGGCTTTGACTGGCTTTGCGTTGAAGACTATTCATTTCCGTAATGACGGCGAATCTGGCTCTGACCACTGCGTCTATGGCCTGTATAGCAAGTGTAAAATCCAGAGCTGCTCACAACAATGCTTTGAGCATCGGGAGATGAGCTTCTCAATGCTTGTTCCTGTAGCTGACCAGTCATGATTGATGGTCGGCCCTTGATACGTTCAGAATTTGGGGTGAAGAGGGCATTGCTCGTACGTTACTCGTAGAACGGCAGATCGCTGGAGAGGTTTCACCTTGGGGGCAAGCGGGAAACGAGAGAGGTTTTCGCTGCCTGCCTGACAGACACACCAATCGCAGTGCTGTTGTCCCTCGATAGTATCAGATGGCATGTTCCACTGGCTCTGGATGCGAGCATTGCATCAATTCTTGCTGAACACGAGCAATGGAAACAATTAATTGCTGAGAAGGGATTCAAGGACGACCATTGCAAGCAAACAGAAGCTTGGATGTGGTTGGGACACTGGGTTGACTACCTAGGAGGTACGGAGTATGTGTCACCGAAATGGTCGAAGGAGGAAAGATTTACGTGGGAGAAAAGTATGTGGGGAGTAGAAATCTGCCAGAAGGCTATGGCACAGCCCTGTCGAAAAGTGCGGAGAGGGCGAAATCATTGTTCCGGAGATTGAAAATTTTCTCACCACTGCGTGCCTCGCAGCGACAAGGGAGGTTTCACACGTGATGACAACCGAAACTCCGCGCCTGGAAAGATGCATTGTGGGACATGGAGACCCGCTGAATTCCCACGAGTCAGATCGTCAAGTTTCCGAACCTCGCCAAAACGGCAGTCTGTGCACGCTGATTGCGGGGTAGGGCTAAGATACCTACCCAGCAGGTAGGATTGTGATCGAGAGAACGAAAGCCCTTCCCAAAGGCAAGACAAGGATCTCCCCGAGTTGGAGTCTGACGGTATATCCCTTTGACCGATACCTGGTAGATATGCACGGAGTAATAACGACTGATAACGCAATGTACACAGTACGTCGTATCGTTGAATAGGGAAGGTGTGATGGACTGTGACATGTGGCTGGGAAGATTGCAGCGCGTAAAAAAGCCGGGGGCAATATTGCGCGATAAGCGACGAAAATGATCCTTCGACTCTTACCGGATTCTTGAGCTACTATCGTAGTGCAACATCTGTGCATATAGAGGGCCGGATACCTAGACAATCCATGGAAATCCATTTCAAAAGCAGCTTGCTCTCAGGGACCTCAGAAGACACTTTGAGACCGATAACTTTAACAGAGCTCCGTGATGGGGCAAGTTGGACGCGAGTACTCATACGGAGGTTGACCCACCGTTTATCATCACTGAGGGGGTTCCGCAATCAGCCCTGAAGTGCGACCAACGAGGCTTCGTTCAAGCCTCGTTATTCTACAGCCAAAATCTGGGGCGGCAATCTTGACGCGTGAGGCTGCAGTATCAGGACGCAATAATGCTTCTTGGCCCCAACCAAGGCTCATCTCACGACTCCCGTCTCGAATTGAACCATGGCAAACCACAGGGGTTCGGGCAACCATGAGGTAACCGAAAATGTAACGGTGTCTCAGCAATTTTCGGAAGGTTGAAGTGCGAGTTGTGATTGATGCATGGCGAAACCGAGTCCCTTATCCTCGTATCTCTTTGGTAGCATTTGGTGCTGATGGGCTGATGAGCGCATGGCCTCCTGAGGGGCAATGGTTTCGTTTGCGCCTGCGATTGGCTTTCTTGCTAGCTTCTCGGAGACAATATCTGTTGTGGGAAGGCCGTTCTCTAGCCTGACGGCACCCCCGGCCAGTCGCTGTCCTCCTCCTGGTCGACTCCAAAGCCTTGTCCTCCTGGACGGCGGTCTTGGTTGGCCTTCGTCTGGTGTGTTAGGCTTCCCCACCTCTTGTGTGCTGTGGGCCTTGCCTGGCGGCTTTTCTCACCACCTTGTTGTGCAGCCTCGGCAGATTGTCGCCCAGTTGAAATCAAGGCCTGCTGGCTTGAACTGGCCTTGCCACTACCCAGAACTTGGGTTCATGCCAATTTGTGGATGATAAGGGCAGCCGTCGGCGTGATTCATCCTCTCCACGTTGGCGGCGCTGGAACTAAACGTTAAAGGATGAGGTGATCGGTCGAGGGCGCCGCAGCTGCTATCAAGGAAATGAGCTTCTGTTCGTTGCCACGTGCACTTGCTGCTGTCTCGTATGTGAGGGAGGGATCAAAAGCACGGGAGGAATGCTTGCATGCTTGGAGAAGAGAGGGTCGACCAGTGACAGTTGCGGGCAAACTCTGGGTCTGAAGCCTGACTCGAGGATGAAGCGAGTCTGAGCCTGATTGCCACTGCTGCCACCCCCAATTGAATTTACCGTGGCTCGTTCAGTTACGGTGTGCCGTGCACCTCTCCGCAGCCTTATTACAGGCTAATTAAGCCTCGTCCGATTCCTCTTCATTTGCACACGGCAGCGTCCCCTCTCCGTTTGAATTCCTCTCACCCTTCCCACACTTTCCTCTTTGTTTTCCCCGGAAGACCGAGAAGGTGCGACCGCCAGCGTTGAAGGTCACAGCTGCACGCCGTGTCTGTAAACAGTCAAGCCTTCACTTCCTGCGCTTTACTTACGACGGCCTTCTCTTGGCGCGGGTCGCCACACTTTCGCAGCCCGGCAGCTCACCACTTCTTGTCGCGACTGTCTGGCACGTCAACCTTGCGTCGAGTCTTGATCATCTTCGCGTCACGGCGGCTCTGCGAATCACAGATTATTACATCGCAGCGACAGTTAACGCGAGCATGGGCGACCTCTTCTGAGCCCCAGCCTACAGTGGACTCGAGCTCAAAAGCCTCGCGCGTTGTTGCCACGGGAGCACGCCTCGTCGGCTTCGCTTCGCTCAACTCCGACCCTCACCCCAGACTCACCACTCATCCCCACTGGACCACCACAATTTACCGATTAAGTCGCCCATCATGGCTACCGATGCAAACATCAACATTACTGCTGCCTCTCTGCGCGGTAGCCCGTCCGATCGCATCATCAAGCCACGACCTCGCAAGGACTCTCTACAATCAATCTCTGGCTCCGATACCCACCCCGGGCGCGTGGTGAAGCCTCGTGCACGAAAATCTCCCGGGTCCGGAGCTAAGAGATCTGAACCCGCCAAGCGAAAGTTCATCTGTTCATTCTCACACTATGGTTGCGACGTTGCCCTTAGTTCCAAGAATGAGTGGAAGCGCCATGTCTCAATTCAACATCTCCAGTTGGGGTTCTATCGCTGCGACGTCGGCTCATGCAACCCAGACTTCAACCCCAATGTCCCCGGCCACAAGCGTGTGTACAATGACTTCAATCGAAAGGATCTCTTCACCCAACACCATCGACGCATGCACAAGCCTGAGACCGGCCCAGGCTCAGGCCCCATTGCGCCCGGAAATGCAGGGGACAAGGACTGGAGAGCCTTTGAGGACAGTCTGGAAGAAGTTCGCAACCGATGCTGGATGGAGAAGCGCAAGCCACCACAGCGCAGCACTTGTGGCTTCTGTGGCAGAGTCTTTGAAGGTGAAGGCTCCTGGAATGAACGTATGGAACATGTGGGTGGTCATTTTTCTCGTGACATCGTCGAAGCCAAGGAAGAACGTGAGGATGAAGATCTCACCAACTGGGCGCTCTTGCAAGGCATTATCAAAGATGGTGGGAATGGTCGTCATGTTCTTGTTGATCAACCGCCAACGGCCACCGAACGTCCTTACCTGGCAAGAGATCGAGATGTCGCCATGACCGATGCGCCAAGCTCAGATGGCATTTCCCGTGATGCCGAAGGCTCCCCATCTTTGAGCGCATCCTCGAGAAAGCCAGATACGGAGAGCAACTATCCTAATCTGGACAGTCCCCGCGAAGGTCGCCGTCTCAGCAACGCCATGAGTGCCAACGGTACGCCGCGTGCTCCCTCAGCACCATTGCTTGCGGCGGCGGGACAAGCTCTTGCTGCGGCTGCTCTTGGTGCAACTCCGGGCTCCCCAGAAGACAAACTTCAGCCTCCACCAACTCCAGAGCGCAGAGGGTACAATCTGGCCCCACCACCTCTGCAGGGCGCGAGACAATCCTCAGCCCCTGCTGATAATGGCAGCGGTGACCGGCTGGAGGATCTTATCAATCAACTGATCAAGCCCAAGCCGCCCAAGACTCACCGTCGGCTCACGTGGAAATGCGTAAGTGGAGTGTGAAGCCATCTTCGCTGCTATATAATACTAATCAGCGTGCTATAGGATTGCAACCTCGAAATGTCAGTGGATATCGACGATGCGGACGAAACGGCCATTGAAAACCTCCAAGACATCAGCATCATTTGCAGCAAGACGTCCAACCCTTACTTGAAGGTTTCTAAGAGCGGCAAGTATCAGGTGGTGGCTTGCGATGAACTCGCCGACTACATCTGGAAAAATTCCAAACAGCCAGTTGAGCAACATAATCGGCCCGCCGAGGTTCCCGTCAGCTAGAGACGCAGGTGTTGCCGAATACCACGAAAGAGGCAAAGTTTGCAGTGCCAGTCGGCAATGTCGAGAGTAGACGTCTTTCGAAAATGAGACCGTCACAATCGACACCTTGTGGGGTGCCAAAACTCATACGTTAGCATCATCGGTTGCCTTTTTTAGCGTCAGTGTAGTTACTGATGGACGTTGACGCTTAACAACGCCGTTACAAGCCTGAGAGTCGTCAACAAACGGACTATGGAATTGCTGTGGATACACAGGGACACGGAAAATGCCTGGGGTTTTTGGACCATACAGATTTTACACCGATGACACGCAATGGGTGGGCAGCATGGTTTTGTCCTCCACCGTCACTGTGAGCAGAATGGCGATGGTAGGACGCTTGCTTGATCTCTGAAAGAATCGTTGGTTTCACATGCTTCAGGAGGTCTGCTGAGGTCTTCGCCTTGTGATTGAAGGCCAGACAGTCAAAATGTCAGCTGCCTTTACACTCCATCGTTTTCGATGCCTGCTAAAGCATCTCTTTCTCTACCTGCATTTCCATCGCCTCGTAGCTCATCGAACCCTCCACTGTACGCACATTACCCAAAGGGCCAGATCTCAACAGAGTCAGTCACTGGCACGATGATCGGAAGTCAGACAGCCTAGCTCTGCACCTCGTGCTGCGGATAATGTGACCTATCTGGAGCGTCTGGAATTAAGAGTGGAGATGTCCAGTGCTTGAAAAGGGGCCTGAGGCCGGGAAATTTTCTGAAGGCTACGGTCCTCCGAGGGAGGGGGGTACGAAGGATACCTCGTACTTCACGTCCCGTCTGCGTCTCCTGCAGGTTCTAGCGAAACAGTGTCCTGGTACAAGCCGAGCCGATTCCGTGGTCAGATACGCCCGGAAGCCCTTCACGGCAGAGAGGCAACAAGGGAACAGCCGAACTTGCAGCTGCTTCTGCATGCTTGGACGGGCTTGGGCTTGGGCCTTTTCAAGAAGCCCAGCCAGACCCTCATGACTTTCAGCCAAACAATCTCTTTATCGAAAGCACGTTCACGACATCTCTCCACAAGCAGCCCACCCATCATCCATATCTATGGTCTGAGCAAATCGCCTGCCAAAGACGCCACATATCCCAGGCTGAGAACAGTATCTCAGCGGCACAATATGGCTTTCGCCAGCGCATTTTGCTCTGAGGAGATCCTTTATCCTGCCCGATTTGCCATTGAAGCCCGCCTTAGAAATCTCACCTCTGAATCATGGCCTTCAGCGAGACTTTCTTCTGTGAAGCTGTCTCACCGCATTCCCAGAATCTGTCTTCCCCGTCCAATCCTCGCTGTTGGCTAATCATAATCCAGCTGGTACGTCGAAGACCCCTGGTCCGGCAGGCCCTGGACGTCAAAAGAACATCTTTTCCGCTATAACAACACGCGAACTGTGGGACCGGGCTGGCGGCAATGTCCAGCCAGTCCAAATCCTTAGACATCAGCGACTGGCCCCTACAGCCGACGACTCGACAAGGTAGCATTACTTCATCACTGAGTTCGCCTTCGGAAACCACCAGTGTACATTTCGCCAATGTAAACCTGCCACCTACGCCAGCCTTGTCTGGCCGGAGCGACAATGGTCGACTATCATCTAACGGACCCGGGAACAGCGTACACGTCCCACTGAGCAAGCCTGTCCATATCTCTTTCAGCAAAGGCAGCAAGCTGTTCAAGTTGAAGTATTCGCAGATCCAGCTGCGGAGGGACCCTGCAGGTTATCTTAAGCAGATTGAATTGAGCGATCCAGCCGGCTTGCAAAGTGCATTCATCCATTCATTCCCAGGCACCAAGATCCCTATCCCTCATCTCGAGCAGCCCGTCACCTCCAGCACCTCTCATATTTCCCGGGTGTCATTCCTTGAGGAACAAAATGTACAGACGGCACAGACTTTGTTCCAAGCACAGCCCCAGTACACCTTCGAGACATGGGAAGGTACGTAGCATTGCAGGCACCCTCATTCTTCATGACCGGCCTCTTATGAGTCCCCAGATTGCGTCCACTTTCAAGAAGCTCTGCTCAGCCAGACAGTGGTCTTCACCGCGGGCATTGCAGAGGCAAAGTCGAAGGGCCGTGGTGAAGAATGCATCAGCCAGAATCTGCGGATATTGCGATCGCGGACCGGGAAGCAGACGATTCTGTTGTTTGCAAATTCGCAGCGAAAGGAGAAGAAGCGCTACATCACAATACCGCGTAAGTCCTGACGAGATGCACGGGAAGCCGCGGTGGACAAACCAGCAGTGGCATCTATCTGGCACGAATGGGTCATTTGGGAGGCCCACGGCCTGGCTCCTGTCACCTTACGGCCCCACCGCTATGTGCTGGGCAGAGTCTTGCCCGGTCTCCCTGTGATAATGAGCTAGCTGACGGATCAACAGTGGACTGCATCGACCATATTGAGCAGAGCAAGAAATCAGGACGGCCCATGACCATTTCACTGCGACCAAACTTCGACCTGCTGGCACAGCTGAAAGTTTTGCACGTCTTGTTCCTGGACGAGAATGGTAAGTACTCCCATCGAGCGGCTGCTTTTGCCATTGTAGATGCCACAGCTAATTCTGCTTCCAGATCGTGAGTACCCCTTTCTCCTACATGAAAGCTGCAGTTCTGGCGATCAGTAGTTATCGTCCGCCCACTCCCGTACGAGCTAACGAGATGTCTCAGAAAAGAAGTTCTTTGGCCTGCTGTGCCATGGTGTTGGTTTCCAGGGGTGATGAGAAGTGTGTCTGGATATGACTGTGCATGAACTCTCGTTATATGAGCGTATGAGCGATGATGAGGATACCCAATGACGATATACTGGTTATGTCGTTTGCCAGATTCTTTCGGGCCTCGTGTCGAGGACAGCAATCACAGAGTGTAATGGCTGGTCGCTAGCTAGACATTGACCGATCGGACTTCCCTTCGGATCTGCCGTATTGTGTTCGACACGGTAGGGCTTGCGGTGGAACCAGCACTGATTTTCTGAGCTCGGCGCCCTGGTCACCAAATTCCAGCAAATCCGTACAAGTAGCCAGAGCAAAGAAATTACGACACATTTACGCCCGGAGCTTGGCCGAGATCCCTGGTCCGCAGGGTGGAGGTGCGAGGGTCCATGGAGCCATCTCGATCCGTGGGATGGCGGCGTGGTCCTGGGCTGCAGCACAGCTTTCGAAGGGTATAGCGTGGGTTGTGAACGGCTTACCGGCTCCAACTATCTCTCCACTAATCACGGTTTGAAGGTCCAGCCTTGAGATGCCTCTCAGCAAGCTGTGTCATCGCTGCCATGCTGTATATCCCCATTCCTGGCATCTCTGTAGAGATCGGACTGGTTAGAATTAAGCTCGTCTTTGCCCGGCTTATGACGCTCAAGCCATTGCCAACTTGTGATTACCTCCCAAGCTCTCCAAGGAGGCAGCTGCCTAGAAAAAGCCTAACGGCGACGCTGTACTGTAGCATGACGCTGCTCGGATCATGTCGGTCTAAGGAGATGGCTGGGGAATTGAGCAGCATGCTGAGGCCTTGGGAGTATTAGCACAGGGCAAATGGATCTCATCGAGGCCCGAAACGGGAGAAGGGTCGGAGACGAGGCCGTCGAGGTGCCTCGCTCAATTGCACGTGGCAGTTCTGAGAATCTGACTGGGCCCTCTGAATGTGCAAATCTCTCACTTTAGCGACGCCCTCGCGACCACCAACCCGCGCCCAGGGAGCCTTGGACGCCCCCCTCTAAGCACCATTCCCTCACACCGAGCTCACCACTCGAACTCGGGCTTTGCAGGCGTGAGCTTGACCTCGCCAGGGCCAACGCTCGGCGTGGGCACAAGTTCCTCTGCCGTAAGGACGCACACAGGGAGGCTAGCCGACTCCTCCAGGAGAGTTCCGATCTCTGTGATACTAACCATCGAAACACCTTGCGCAGGATGGTGCTCTCACTGGCCAGTGAGCTGCTGCCCACGCGGACGAGTTCGTGGTCCCACGCCGTTCAGAGCCCCGATTTCAAGAGAAAGTAGCCTGCTAGGCTCTGGTCTACATCGCCACACTAGAGGCACTTCATATCCGAGTCCCGCCTCTCAACAGCCAAAAGCAATTCAGGCGCCTGTCCTCACGGCCCCAGCGCCATCCATTTATTCCTAACAAACATCATCTTCGTCCATCTGTCGTCCTCCATTTGCTCCCGCTCTACACTTGCAACCTAACCAGACCGCGCCTCCGCTTACTGTTACGCTCCTCCCAATCGTCCGCACCATGGATCGTTGACGGCGTGGACCCCTCGCTTTCGGCCCCATTTTAGACCCCTCGACCTTCATCATGGGACGATGGCGCGGACGTCTGTATGCGACTGACCGCGCGAGAGATTTCGACCATGAAAGGGTGAGTGTTTGTTTGCAAGCAGTGGCTGCGGCCGGAGGGACAAAGAAACTCACATCTCGCTTGCTCTCAGGATCGCCATGTGCGTGTCCGCCAGATCTACGAGACCATCGACCGCCAGCCTTTCCAATGGGTCGTCGTCCTGGTCGCCGGAGTGGGATTTCTGCTCGATGGATTCTCGGTGGGCTCAAGTCTGGTTGCAAAATCACTCCTGTCACTAACGGTGCGACAGCTCTTCGCGGGAAATATTGCTCTCCCAATGATTTCATTCACATACTGGAATCAAGAAGTTTCCACCTACAAACTGACCTGTATTAACATCGTCACCCTCACTGGCACCTTGATCGGTCAAGCCACCTTTGGGTTCCTGGCCGATAAAAAGGGAAGAAAGACGATGTATGGAATTGAGTTACTGTTGCTTATTGCCTCGACGCTCGGCGTCGTCATGAGCTCCGAAGGTCACAATGGGAGCATGAGCGTCTATGGATGGCTGATATGGTGGAGGCTGATGGTTGGGATCGGCGTGGGTGCGGATTATCCGGTCAGTCTCGGGTTCGACGAGGCGCTGGTGCCGCTGACGACGTGATACTAACATGGCCATAGCTCTCTGCCACGATCTGTGCCGAGTTCGCGCCCACGCGTCATCGCGCCCGAATGATGGCATGTGTCTTCTTCTCGCAGCCGCTCGGGCAAATCATGGGCAACGTCATCTCTTTAATCGTTGTCGCCATATCTCGCAAGTCGAGCGAGGACTCGGATGATCTTCGACGTTCCGTGGACATCATGTGGAGGTGGATTATCGGTATCGGCGTCGTTCCGGGCGTCGTTGCTCTGATATTCCGTTTCGCTATCCCCGAAACACCACGGTTCCTGCTTGATATCGAAGACGATCCGGTAAAGGCGGAGTTTGATGCCACCCAACTGTTCGGCGAGAGTTCGATGAACAGTGAGATGGAGGCAGGAATGTGGTGTGACTCGCTACCGGAGTCTGCCCTCTCAACACGCTCACTGGATGACCGATCCGATGCCAGACCATCATTCACCGTGACCTCGGCGCCTTTGGCTACACTGAACTCGTCTTGGAAGATCTCAAAGGCCGACATCAAACAGTACTTCTGGACCGAAGGCAACTGGAGGACGTTGGCAGCTGTATCATCGTGCTGGCTCCTGTTGGACTTTGGGTATTACGGCATTGGCCTCTCCAATCCACAGTTTCTGGCGAAGACTTGGGGGAATTTGAACATTACCGGACCTCGGCCTATCTGGCAGACCGACGACGACCCGAACACCGACATCTACGACATGTTCATGCATACTTCTGTTCAAGCGCTAGTGATCTTGAATATTGGGAGCTTTGTCGGAGGCTTGCTATTTATCCGTAAGTTTTTCTGGACTGGCCGAATCAGGACCACAGAATTCGGGAACCCCTGGCTCTGCCGAGATTGACTCGCAACGCTGACGATATCTTAGTCTTGTCGAGCCGCTTGAATCGGGTATCTCTCCAAAAATACGGCTTTTTAGCCCTGGGTGCTCTGTTCATTGCCTTGGGCACGGAGTTTATCACAGTCCATCAGGAGGGTGCTCTCGCAATCACCTTGTACGGTATGTTCTCCATTTCACAGAGGCACCTGTCAGTATTGGTTCATGCTAACCGGGATTGACAGTTCTTGGCCAACTGCTTTTCAATCTAGGTAGGTCTCAACACATGCCCTACACTCTTTCGTGTCTCTAAACGGTGGACAGGCCCGAATTCGACAACATACATCATCCCTGCTGAACTGTTCCCAACGCGCTACCGGTGTACATGCCATGGCATTGCCGCCGCCTCCGGCAAGCTCGGCTCAATCCTGGTGCAGGTATTCTCCTTCTACTACAAATTTGGGTCCTCGTCGCCTGGGGACAATCAAACAAGGCGCTACGGTACGATCCTGGTCATTTTCTCGGCGTGTATGATACTTGGGGCGGCAGTCACGCACTTCTTCGTCCCAGAAGTCCAAGAAAAGGCGAAGCGGGGATCACTTTGGGCTGGCAAGTGAGTATACCTTGGTTCTCTATCCCCAGGGCATGACATTCAAGCTCCGTTCGGCGCTGACGACGTCTTTAGCTCCAAAACACTCGAGGAACTGGCGCTTGGGAGATGGTCCGCCGGCAGCTTGAGTGTAACACGCTCTGCACCCGTCAGGAGCATTGATGGGTTATGAGGTTCTGCTCATGGCCAGAGTATCACTGTACAAATGATCTGGCACGGCGATAACGGAGTTGATGATTGAAATGTGGTATGTATCTAATCGGTTGGGCCTGCACCCGTCTTATGTGCAAAGGAGCTGGAAAAGGTGTTGAGCACTATACCCCTGATAACGCAAGTTCGTCGAGATATTGTCTGATGCTGTGCTATGCAGCTTGTACCAAAGTCCTCGCCCAAGCGGCTTGTTTGACTGTTGGCTGGCGTTGACCCGGAACGGACCGGGATGACGACGCTTGGCATAATTAAGCTTAATCTCGAACCACATCATTTCTTTTGGATTTTCGTCAACATAGTTCGACCAAGTTCGCCCTCGAATATGTTGTGTTGAAGCAAATCCTTTATGTGTCACGGTACACGTACAGCAATTTGAATGGTACGGCGAACTAGCCTCAGCAGACCGTTGTGGTTGCCGCCGCATCATGGTGCGACTGTTAGTGCGCATGAGAACCGCTCCTCTGTCCAAGTGCATCCATACCTGCGTCACTGATATGTACAGCAGGCGTCGAGGTGTGATCCCAGCTTCATTCATGGGGATGCGCTCTCAGGCTCAAGCCGAGGATATCTCTCTGTCACCATCATCCGGAGCGCAACTCTGCTCACACCTCTTGCGTCTCGATGCTTCTTTCCAATTTGGTTCACTTCGCCCTGACAACATATTGAGACATACCTGTGTGATTGAGCTCGATCTCAGCGCAAATACTCTCCCTCTTCTCCCTCTTCTCCCTCTGCTCCCTCTGCTCCCTCTGCTCCCTCTGCTCCCTCTTCTCCCTCTTCTCCCTCTTCTCCCTCTTCTCCCTCTTCTCCCTC